AGAGGTGGAAGGAATTACGTACATGTAAGGCAGTTCTCCTTGGAGTCCTAGGACTTGGTAGGTCTTTTTATTTTTTTAGCTTTCTGGCTGATACCCTAACCTTCCCAGGCCAATATTATTTTTATTAGAAATAATACAAATAATTTAATTTCCTAAAGTTCTAGGCTCAGTATTAATCTCTTGGTATTGCTTCTTCTCCATCTGATTTTTCTTTTACTTTTTAAATTTTAAGATCCTTTTGTGCAAGAGGAGAAACCTCAGTGGAATGCTTGGCGTTGGCCCTCGGTTCATCTCTTTACTTCCTTTACCTGTCCTTTCCTCCCTACTCCATTCTTTTCCCAGTCTCTGTGGGACAGATCAACAGTATGCTCATCTCTTAGACTCCTGGGCCCATTTCTGGGCAGGGGATGGTACAAAGCTCTTCTCCTAAAGCTAGGCTTAAAGCCTTAGAGAAAAGTAGGTTTTAGACTCTACTTTCCTCAGTCTCTAAAGCCAGTTAGCAATATCACTGTAATAATGCTCTATAGTGTCTTTCCTTTCTACCCTATCCTTTCTCTCCACACTATTCAGGTTTTTGCTACCTCTTGCCCACTACAATAAATTCTAAACTAGTCTTTTCAAATTTTGACTTTGTGTGTGACCTAACTTTGTCCAATTTACTCCTCTACTCATAACTGCTCAACAACTCCCTCCTGTATAATAAGTGTATTACAGGTTCATCATGGCATTCAAAATTCAACAAGGTCTTACCCCAAACTATGTTTGGAAGTGCACCTTTCCGGTCCCTTTAATTCTCTCTTCAAACCAAAATTGAGCTACGTGCCATTTCCTAAACATTTCATGAGACTGTTCTGCTTCTTCTAGCTGGAATGTCTTACATTTTTCCAGTATATGTTCACTGGCACTTACTGCATATTTGCAAATTGTCATTGCATGGATTAATTTAGCTTAATTATTGATGATTAATAGATGAGTGTTTTAGGTGTCTGCCTGAAGCGATATAGCAGTTGAACTTTTACTCATAACCTTTTTTTCCTAAGGGGATACAGCTGTTTAAAACTTTTTTGAATAGGGAAAGATATTTTCCTTATTTATTCCCTAATAATCAGAACATTCATTTGTTGAAGTTAATTATTTTTGTTAGAATATATTCAGGCGCCGGGCGCGGTGGCTCAAGCCTGTAATCCCAGCACTTTGGGAGGCCGAGGCGGGTGGATCACGAGGTCAAGAGATCGAGACCATCCTGGTCAACATGGTGAAACCCCGTCTCTACCAAACATACAAAAAATTAGCTGGGCATGGTGGTGCGTGCCTGTAATCCCAGCTACTCAGGAGGCTGAGGCAGGAGAATTGCCTGAACCCAGGAGGCGGAGGTTGCGGTGAGCCGAGATCGCACCATTGCACTCCAGCCTGGGTAACAAGAGCGAAACTCCCTCTCATAAAAAAAAAAAAAAAAAAAAAAAAAAAAAAAAAAAAAAAAGAATATATTCAGGCAAGCAGTGTGATCTGTACCGAGTGTATGAGTTGGGGGCACAATTATATAACTGCTAGCCAAACCTTGATTTTTGGACAGGGTAAAATTGGGAAGAAGCAAACAACCATAATTCAGATACATGCCCCATTATATAAGACTATCCCTCTTCGGAGGCTCTCTGGTTTCTTTGTAAGACCCTTTGTTTTCTTTGTCAAGAAATTTTTCCTCCCATCAGCAGGACTCACTCTTCAGGAGTCCTATAGTATAACCACATCCACAAACATTTATGTTATACCTGTTGCACCCCTGGTACTATGCTGGGAGACAGTTATCAAGATGCATAAGAAACCAGCTGTTGACTGCAAGCCTCTCACAATCCAGTGGGGAAGGAAACTGTTATGTAACATACCATAATATAGATTCATAAAATATACCATCTTCACCTTATGTAAAATATGAGAGAGGTACCATGGCAGGGGAAGAGATTGAGAACTTAATGATCTGCAGGTCAAGGGATGTCCTTAAAGGGCTTTGACCTCAGTACCTTGGGGAGATGAAGAAAAGGAGAAAGCCATGGTGTGTTCAGGAATGGGGAATGACACAGTGTGACTGGAACCCAAGGTGCATGGAGAACATGGTAGATGATGACTTTGGAAGTGTAATTGAGGCCAGGCAGGGAATGAGCTTAAAAACCAGGCTACAGAGTTTAGACCTCACTTAGTATTTAAAGGAAGATATTGGAGGTATTTTAAGCATCACAGTAAAATTTCGAAATCCATTTTTAAAAAATAACCTTGGTACAATGAAAGATAGATTGATGAGAAAGATTGAAATTAGAGATAAAAATATGATAATACAGACTTGGAGGTACCTGACATTTTGACACTTGATCCATTATTTTTTGTAATTGGAGTTATGTCATAGACCTTTCCTACTAATAATGCTTTCTGAAGTTGGCCCTTGAGTGAGGTTTTAAAGGACTGGAAGTGTTTCATAGTAACTGTTATCTGAAACACCTAAGAATTCTGGAAAGTTGGATTTACAGCACAAATCACTCAGTAGTTGTAGTTTTCTCTAATTCTTTCCAGGTGCTAAAGGGGATAAGGCATTAACAAGCATTAAAACACATTTACAATGTATATATTTGAAATCATGATAGAAATAGCTCATACATACCATTTTGGGCTCATGCCACGTTCGACACGCTATGCTAAGCATACACCTTACGTCATTTAACATTTTCAGTAAGTGGTATTAGATCTATTTTATAGATATGCTGAAGCTCAGAAAATTTAACACATTAGGATCACACAGTGAGGAAATTTTGCCCTGTCCATTATAGCCACCTTGAATGTGTTCCTTCAGAAAAAGAAACTTGTCTTTGCAGTTGCCTCTCACTGGGACATTACTCTCCAACATAGTTACAAAACTGACCTCTTCAGGTCTTCACTTATATGTCACCTCCCAAAGAAGTGACAGGGATCCTTCTGTCCAATGTTGTACATTTTTATTTTACTTTCTTCTTAGTAAATTATCTGAAATTATGTATTTACTTGTTTATTTTCTGTCCAATCTAGAATATAAATTTCATGAGATTAAGTATTTTGCACTTCCAACTTAAAAATCCACAGTATTTTAGAAGTTTCTGGAGCATTCTGTGCACATTCAATAAATATTTATTCTGAATGTGAATCCATGTCTTCAGAACTCAGTCCCAGCCTCTCTGGGTGTTATTTTTCTGCTACTAAACACAGTGGGAGGGGCATGGCTGATAATATAACCTGAGGAACTGTGTTCCTGGGCCCCAGACTGATTAACTTTTAAAAACTGAATATTTACTTACGAGGAAAAGAAATTCACAGGTCATTCTCTTTCTCATTAAGATTATTTGATTATATCTAAGCTTGTAGTTACATGTATAGTTACTCAAGATGTGTGATTAGTTAACATGTAAACATGTTTGGTAGATTACTGTTTAGAATTTGACCTTTTCTTCTATGTTCATGCTGGCTGATTTTTATAAGAGAATACTGAGATTTACATAAAATAGACACTGTTTCTGGCTATTTTGATTTTCAAAACGCTAGACATTTAAAAATGCATGTTCTGTCTGACAAACTAGTCAATTGATATTATCTCAACACACAAAATAACAGTTTTGAGAGGGCAAATTCTTTCTTTCTGTCCTCAAACTACATTTTTCTTTGGTGGTTTTAGATGGGTCTTTATGGAAGTGTGATGTTCCTTTGTCTTGGTGGAATCTGAGGTAACTTACTTTGTCTATAGCATATTAACCACCTCTTTTCTCTCTGTTCCGCGTATCTAGGAATAGCTTGCTGAATAACTCCCAAATTTAAGAAGGTGGACTGTGAAGTAATTTTAAGTACATTTCTTGGTGTTCTGTGAGGGTCCATGATCTTAGCTCAGTTAATTAGCTTTGTTAAAATTGTATGAAAGAGTTCATGTGATTCTAAACCACGAAAGAAGCAAAACGCCTGAAAAACAACCTGCCCCTTACCTTGATCCCCACCTTCTCAAAAACCATGGTGTAATGGAAATGAACAGAATAATGGTTGACGAGCAAAATTTTAAGGCATTCTAAGTATCACTGGTTGGTTTAATAAAATTAATTAGCCTGCCATGGAGAAAATTTACTAGCGTGCTGGTTAATTTCACAATGTAAAGTCAGGGAAGGGAGGTAGGGTTGAGGGAACAAACCTTATTAGTTTTGAATAATTATTTAAAGATGTGGACCTGCTTATTTCAAACACTTGGATAGCCAAATCCTTTAAGGATTTAAAATCTCAATTTTTGCATCCCAGTATATATGGGAAGGTACCTCTCTAGATGAAATCATAAGCATATTAGTTAACAGCTAAATTGCTTCATCTTAAATAATACAGAACAAGTAGATTCCTAATAAAACCATGGGAATGAGAATCTACCTCAAGACTGGCTCATGGGAGGTTTCCATAATCTTAATTTGCTATTGATGCAGTTATTGCTTTTTCTTGTCTTTTTAATCCAAACAAGATGTTTGCAGTGGCCGTGGAAAAGTGCCTGAAATCACATGCCTGAATTCATTTAATTTGCCAACACTGTCTTTTTCTCTCCTTTTTTCTGGTAATGGGCAAGAGTCAGTTCTGGTGCATTAGGTACTAAATCTCCTCAATTACCATCCGGGAAGAAAGATTTAAAATTGCACTTCAAACCTACAAACTGATTTAGTTTTAAAGCACAAACACTCCTCCTGTGGAGTCCAAATTAACCTGCAGAAAGGACACAGAGCCTGAGGAATTAAACAAGTCAGAGCCAAGGCTCAGGCCAACCATAGGAACCATTTTGGTTTCTTTCACTTGAGACCCAGGGTGTGAAAGGAAGGGGAGCAAAAACAAGCTGAGAGGCAAAACTTGTGTAAGAAAGTGCAATACTTTATTAATTGCTTGGGAGCTGGATGTGGAGTAAACATTGGTGCAGGGAACCTAATCAAATCCCTTATCTTCTTTTCTTTTTGGGTGCTCGGCAGCCATTTTCAATGTGGATGACTCTGTGGTTGATCTGGAGACCCTGGCAGCCTTATATGAAAACGTGAGTGTCAAAGACTTACAGAGCTGGCATTTCCATATTTATCTTCCACCTGAGAATGACTGTGCCATTCATGTTCTTTGGTAGTAAGGGTTTTGACATGGCCTAGAAGAGATGAAGGCGTAGAAACACAAGCTTGAATGGGAGTGGATGTGAGAAGCACTATGTTCCCAACTCCCACTGTGGTATCTAGACTGGTGGATCTCATTGCACACTTGCAAGGTAGGGCATCTCAGGTGGACACCACTTATGTGCCCTGAGACCCAGTCCAGTCACTTGCTGGCAGAGTGAATGAAGGTAAGCTGCCTACTGAAATGACAGTGTGTACCAGGATCTCCTTCTGAGGAATGGGACTGCTGATACCAGCTTGGATGATTACTCTTAGTCCAAATGAGCTGATGATACTGAATGTGGAAAGGTGTCTAGAATGGCGGGTATGTGTTTTGGATTTATAGTGAGACACTCTTAGGTTTGAGGTCCAGCTGTGTCTACCATTGCCTGCTAAGTGACTTTGGGCCAGTTACTTAAACTCCCTAATCTCGTTTGATCATCAGTCCAGTGGGGATTATAGCAGGCTCTATCTGATTTTTTTTAATCAAATGAGCATTTAATATATGTAGCAGTAGCAATGTATTTTGAAAGTTAACAGGACTATACACATACAAGGTCTTTTGATTTGGGTTTTAAGTGGACGTAACCAGAATTATCAGGCTCTCTTGAGAAGATAACACAGCAGAGTCAGAATTCCCATGATTGTTAATTGTTTTGCTTCACTGACTGTTAGGATACAAAAACATAGATTGAACCACATTCTCTTAAGTAATAGTATTTCCCAGGAAGCTGTCTAGGGCTCTATAGTATGCTGTGGTCACTCAGTTCAAAAGATGATTCATTTCAATATTTTGTCCCCTGGGACCTTAAGTCTCTTACAGAAAATTTCCAAAGTCTAATATTCTAGGCCTGGTGGCATCACCCAATTCCTTGCTCATTTCACATCTTTTCTATGTATCAGGGCTGCTTAATACAAGTGGGTGGGAACCTCTCACATTTCCCTTAGTAAAGCTTTCATTAATAAACCACAGAGTACACAAATAACAGGCCATTGAGAGCCAATTATGCACTTGAATACTCGGAGGTCAGCATGGTATAGTGGCAGAAAGAGTTCCAAGTCTGAAGCTCTTTAACAGTTACTTAGTAGAAGCCTCAGTGGAATAATCTGTAAAATGAGGCTGCAGTGGTTCATGTTAAAGGACTTTGTCAAAGGCACTACCTTCCAGATGCTTTCCGTTGTTACCATGAGCTCAGGACTGTGCACATGGTTGCCGCTTGTTAGCTCACAGTAGAGATAAGCTGCATGCAACTGCAATAGGTGGATAAATTGAGGAAGTAACTAAATGGCAATATAAGTGGTACAGACAATGAGCGCTTATGAAATTTGAAAAAAGGGATGATGGTGACTACAAATAAAAGAGCTGCAAGCCCATATAATTTAGGGCTGTTCTAGGGGTAAGGAAGCAAATTCTAAGAACAATTTGTCCCCAGCCTCCTTATGGGGGAAGAGACGGGATTCAAAGGTAGAACTCAAATAGCTGTACTTCTGTGTCCAGCTGCATGCACTTGTTAGGAACATTTGCATTGACTCTTAAACTTGAGCATGCATCAAAATCACCCGGTGGGGTTGTATCCCCACCCCAGTTCTTGTGTGTAGGGTGGGCCAGTGAATTTTCATTTCTAACAAGTGACGGGTGATGTTGATGCTGCTGGTCTAGGAATCACACTTTGAGACCCACTCCCATTACAAGCGTCTCACTGCCCATTTATTTTGTTTTGTTTTCTATTTTGGTACAGAGAGCCCAAGAGGATGAGCTGGTTAAAATAAGAAAGTATTATGAGACATCCAAAGAAGAAGAACTGAAGCTGCTGGATAAACCTGAGCAGTAAGGATACTTAACACTTTTCTGTTTGGCCAAAAAAAGAACTGCAATTTCTGTCTTCTTGTCTCCCAGCTCAGAATAACAAAATCTAAATTTTTAGCAGTGAGCTAAATCACAGCACCATCATTCCTGTGACCTATTGCAGGCAGCAGGATGACCCTGCTGCCGGGAAGAGCAGCAGTGAGATTTGTGCTGCTGGCTACAGCGTGTCTCACCCACTTCCCCCACCCTACGAGACTCCCGTTTCTTGTTCTAGCAACTTGTTAAATCCTCCTAGACTAAACATTTTTACCAAAAGGGTAACTGAGGAAGGAAGAGGCATTGTTCTATTTCAGGTTCTGCTGATGTAGTTGAAAAGATGATATCAGAGTCACAGAATTCAAATTTATTTTCCTAAAGGTCATATCCAGTAAATGCAGCCTGAATGTGCCAGCTTTTCCTCAAACTTCTCTACCTGCTCTGCCCAAGTTACATGTGGCTTTTTCTCACCCTCACTCTGCACATGCTTGTTCTTCTCTCCACGCACTGTCTCTAGCTGGTTGCTCTGTCATTTGCGATGCCGTTCCATAGGCTTTGAAAACCCAGCACTCCGAGGTGTAACTGAGTGACTCTTGGGGTCTTGAAGCGACACATAAGCTCCTGGGGCTCTGCAGCCCCACGCCCCTGGCCTGGCTTTCCAGGGCCTAAGACTCTGTGAGAATGTAAAATGGGTTCAGAGGACACAGGGGCTGCTTTTGTTTGTTGCTACCTTGAATTTTTTTTTGTCCAATTCAGGCCGACCCTCTCAACCTAGAGATGAGGCAAGTGTAGCAAACGAAGCAGAAATGCAGTGATCAGATCAGGGTTACAAGTCAGCCGTAGAAGCATCCAAGTTTCTCTGGCTTGCACTGGGGCTTCCATGCCTTGTCCTTTGGATCCTCTAGAACAGGGGTCCCCAACCCCTGGGCCACAGACTAGTACCAGTCCATGGCCTGTTAGGAACCAAGCCACACAGCAGGTGGTTAGTGAGCAGTGACCGACAAGCAAGCCAGCATTACCACCTGAGCTCCGCCTCCTGTCAGATCAGCAGCAGCATCCGATTCTCATAGGAGCACAAACCCTACTGTGAACTGCACAGGAGGTGGATCCAGGTTGTGTGCTCATGAGAATCTAATGATGATCTGTCAGTGTCTCTCATCACTACTAGATAGGACCATCTAGTTTCAGAAAAACAAGCTCAGGGCTCCCACTAATTCTACATTATGTTGAGTTGTATACTTTTTTCATTATATATTACAATGTAATAATAGAAACAAAGTACACAATGAATGTAATGAGCTTGGTCATCTCGAAACCATCCCATCCCCCAACCCCAACCCCTGGTCTGTGGGAAAATTGTCTTCCTTGAAACCCGTCCCTTGTGCTAAAAAGGTTGGGCACAGCTGCTATAGAATACCTAAGTCCCCATGGATGCCTGGACATTTAGACTTAAGAAAACATCTCTAAATGACTGGGGATGGGAGTCAGGAAGAGAATTCTGGGTGTACTCAGTTACTGACAAACCTACATGATGGTTTTGGGAACCTTGGATGATTTGCTCTCACATGGAGCGTGGTTCAAGATTCCCCCCTCAAATTGGTTTCTAAAGCCTAGGGATATTGTGAATCAAGTCAAATGAGGTTCCCCTGCTGTCTTGTTCCACTGACTTGAGACACCTTCCTTACCAGTCCCTACCCTCAACTGATCTATGGTTTATTTCCAAGTCATGTTTCCTAATAAAACAAATTAGTCCCTCCTAAGGTGCTAATGACTGAAAGTAAAGTGACTAATAATGGGATATTTCAACAGGGACAAGGCCATGGGGATGTATTTGAGCACAGCCAGCACATCAAGCAATAGGGTAGTGCTGGTTATACCAAGTTGCACAGTAATATTCTCCTCTAAGCCTGGAGTTGGCAAACCTTTCCTGTAAAGGACTAGATAATAAGTATTTTAGGCTTTGTGACTTACGGGATGTTACAGATATTCAAGTCAGCCATTGCAGTGCAAAAGCAACCACAAGCAATAGATAAACAAATGGGTATGGCTGTGTCCCAATGAAATTTTACTTATGAACACTGAAATTTGAATTTCATATCATTTTTTACATGTCATAAAATGTTAGCCTTCTATTGATTGTTTTTTCAGCAATTTAAAAGTGTAAACATCATTCTTCGTTCACGGGCCATACAAAAACAAGTGCTGGCCTGGTTTTGGCCTGTGAGCTGCAATTTGCCAACCCCTTAACCACCAAGCAGCCCTTGCTCTAATCTATGAGAATGGCTGATATGGTGAAATGAATAGGCATGGAGAGATCATGGGTTTCTGTAACTGTCCTAATTATTGTTCTAATTGCCAGGACTTAGATAATGGTAGCAGGTAATTAACACATAACTTACTCTTTTTGTCTCTACTGATGATTTAGATAGAAAAGCATTTTAATGTTTATAAATGGTCATTGTAATGGCTTCATGAACATGCAGAGCTAGCAAAAAGGACTATCATGTTGTGCTGGTGAGGTGACTTGCTTGGGCTCAGTTGCAGGAGGGTGAGGCACAGATAGGTGGGGGCCTTCAGACCTGGGTGCACAGTTCACCTTTGCTACCAATCTCCTGCACAAACCAGCATTTGTTTGATTTATGCCACTCTGATTCTCTGGCAGTAAATCAAACCATTATTTTGCCATTAACTCCAAGTTATTTGCCGTTAACTCCAAGTGAGTCAACTATAAGCATCTTTTACATACTGGAAAATACGAATCATTTATAGTTTTAACATTGCAGTTTCCTAAGAGTCCTGTGGTGCCCAGTCCTATAAATCAGAGCATGGAGAGACTGGTCTCATCACTCACCTCATCAACTCTCTTACACCCCAGTGCCAGATTTAGAAAGCCATTCCCCACAGAGGTGTCATCTGCTTGGGACCAGGCTGTCTGAGAACCACTCCCTCTAGGGATGACTCTTGACTCTTTTCTTATGCTGCCTGGTAATGGTTGTGAGGTGAGGCTCTACTGGGTTTGATCTGGCCTGGTTCACACTCCTTATGGCCTAGAGTGAGAACACTATACACAGCCTTTTGTGATGTTTCATGAGGGTCCATAGCTGCTTTGGGACCCCCACACAGTAGGCTCTGTTAGTGTACTCCTCCATCAAAGAATGTAGGTTACAACATTCGGTTATGCTGTGTATTGCCTGTGTGCACATACACCTTAAGTAATACCATTCAGAAATTTAGGGATAATAAATCAAATGTCAGTCCCATAAAAACAGTGGGCCACATTGCATCATTCCACCTATCAGCTGAGTTCCTGCTGTGGATGTGTCACCCAAACAATGTGAGACATAGAACTTCTTTTATATATTAGAAGCTGAAGTTACAGTCCCTCCTGGAAACATTAGCCTGTATTGGAGAAAGAAGGAAAGGATCCTGCATTTGTGGCCTCTTTTGGGAATATTTAGTCTTCTTTTTTTTTTTTTCCTTTATTAATGAACCTAGAGTGTAAAGTTAGACTAGTCCAAAAGGAACTCAATCCATAAAGATTCGTAAGTACTAAGGCCCGGTGTCTAAGATCCTATGCTTGGGAATATTTGAGAGAGTTACTGTTTTTGCTCTTGAGGGTAGAGGATAAAACAGTAATGGAGCAGGGCAGGGGAAGAGAAGATATTTATCAGATGCTTGCTTCACAGCCTTCAAAGTAACCTATGCTTCTGGTACCTTAGCAGATAAATAAGAGAGGAGCTGTAGTGCTCTTTGCATGGCTATTTTTGAATGGCAAGGGTCATAAAACCCTAATTTTTTTCCAAATTTGTTTATTATTTTGTATTTTCACTTTATACCAAGCATCCAAGCCAAAACTCCAAAGTCATCCAAAGTTGGACTCTTCACAACATCTCTTAGAGTTAGATTACTCAGGGTCTTGCTGCCTTAGTAGCTTCTTCATCCATTTGCCCCTCACCATTCACACTGCAAGGCCCTCTTACCTTTCCTCTTGGAAGACTACAGCTGTGGTCCAAGAGGTCTCCCAGCCTCAAATTTCCTATCCCATCCAATCAACTGAGCTGCTGCCATGGAGATTTTCTAAAACAAAAAGCAGAAACTGTCACTTTACTGTTTCAAACCTTCATTCATTCATTCAGAAGTTGAAACCCTGCATTTTAGAATACAGAACACTATTTCAGCATCGCCTTCTACTCACTTCCCCCACAGATACCCATTCAGCCTATCATGGCTCTCTTGGCAGTTTCTCACATGTTATGCATGAGCATCACAGGGCTCTGGGGACCCTAGCTGATATTGTTCCCCCATGACACTTCAGTGTCCTGCATTTAGTTTCCTAGCTCCTCTTCTGGATCCAGTCCATCACTGATAGCACTTATTCACACTCCACAGTAATCGTTGAATTACTTCTCAGATTATCAAGAAGGGATTATAAGTTAAGCTCTGTTCCCAGGCCCTAGCATGGTCCCTGACATATTGTACATGCCTTATACATTCCTGAAGGCGACTGACATTCTTAGTTACTGATCTTCTAGTAGTAATTTTCAGTTCTTTCCAAAAATAACATAAAATTCTGATCTTTTCTCCCCACTGCAACTCTGTGTGTGGGTTCTGGGCCATTCTGTTAAAGAGGACATTGGAACATTAAGATGCTCTAAGACTTTTTCCAGTGCAAGCCCTAACCCCCGTGAGGCCTTTAATCCTAGAGAGCCTTGCAATTTGATCTTACCCTTTACTGCATAAGATACATTTGAAAGACTATGGTCTTCTCTCCTCATATTGGTCCTACACTTCCTCTTTTAAGACTATTTATGAGTAACTATTCATCCAGCATTTTCTGCTTTTCATCTAAGTCCTTTTAGTTGAGCTGAGGCATTGATCTATATATTTTCTCATGTGGTATCTGTAACTGCTTTACTCACTGTGTTCATTTTAAGTGGGAAGTATACACGAGACGTCCTGAATAACATCTTATGGTCACATTTGGAAGAGGAGAAATGCAAGGTCCTTCTTTCAAAATAGTTCAGCATCTGAATAAATACTTCTTACCAAGACTCATTACAAGATCAGATGTTACCAGTCCTGTGAGCTTCTTATTTTCTTAGGTATTTGTAAAAATTGATACCCCTGATTTCAGTCACAATCAATGAATAAGTTGTTTAGTATTACATTCATAAAGAAGTAATTTATATATTCCTATGAGTTTCTGCTTTTATACTACATCATATAATTTTCGTAATGGGTTATTGAACTTTAAAACAAGACTGTTTTCTTTTATGGATATTCCTTGCTTTAATGAAGTGTCATCTCAAAAAAATGATTGTGGATTATGACCTAGTTGTGGAATAAATATGAAATCAGTTGATAGAAAAGTTATTAAAACCCAAATATCCCTAAAAGTAGAGAAGGCACAGAGAATATAAGCCAAGAAAATATCTTCAGGTATAAAAAAAGTAGCCTCCAGCTTTGTTCCTATGTAAAACCGTTTATGGTGAGAGATGGCAAAAATTTCATGGTAATGACATTATGAGTTGACCAAGACTTACAGAAATATCAGTTAATCATCATCTCAACTCCAGAATGAAATAAATGGCTCTTAGTGGATTCTTTCCTTTTCTGAATTCATGTCCAACTGTTTCCACCCACTTTCGTTTATACCCCTTCCTCTGGTGGTTGGCCTGGAGAATATGTAGCTCTTCCAACTCAGTTTTGCAAAGGGAACCAGTGCCCAACTGCTCACACAGTAAGCTACTGTGTGTAGGTCACTACTCACCTTTAGCTTTTAAGATCTGTCTTGCCATATTTTTAAGGAAACTTTAGGTAGTCTACTTAATGAGTGCCTGGTTTGTTCTAAATACCGAGCTGTAAACTATGTCTATATGTGTAAGTTAATGTGAAAAAGTAAACAAATATCTGGAGAATGTGATCATTATATGTGATTATGTAACTCACTGAGCAAAAATAGTAGCAATATCACTTCAGTAAGAGATTTTTTTAAATCACTTGTCTGTAGACATTTGCCTCAAGTCTTCAGTTTGCTTAGCCTGTATAAATACACCTTTAGAGAATGCTCCATTATGAGGGAGTTTATTGTATAATTTTTCTCATATGTTAAAGACTAGGGCTTTCCATTTGGCTTCAGTCTCTTGTTGGGGTAGCAGGAGATAGATAACTTGTTCAGTATACTTGCATTAACTTTCTGTTCCCAAAGGAATTTATACACTGTACATTTATTCATCATGATAGAACCCCTTTAAAAAGTGTCCCTGTTGTCAGCAATGGAACCCATGCCCTTGGAATTCCTTGAGTCTACCGATCCGACATCTTTTATAGTTGTTGAGATTGTCAGATAAAGAATGTTCTCAAAGTGGATCTTTTTCAGCTGTCTTTTTATTTTTCTTGTGACTGTATGTGAAGCTAGATGATTCATTTTCTTTTTTACAGATTTTTACATGAGTTAGCCCAGATTCCTAATTTTGCTGAACGTGCCCAGTGCATAATCTTCAGATCTATCTTTTCTGAGGGTATCACCTCCTTGCACAGAAAGGTAGAGATCATCACGCGAGCTTCTAAGGTATGTTTGCTGTCTAATTTAAAAGATAGCCTTATTCTGATTGAGAGTAGAGGAGAAAGTGGGAAAGACCACTGTAGTGCCATTATAGAAACCTTTTTGGACACAGATTGTATGTTTTTCTAAGTGAAAATTTGATGATTATCCTGGGGGGGAAGGGGGAAGAGGGGGGGAGGGGGGAGAGAGAGAGAGAGAGAGGAGAGGAGAGGGGAGGGGAGGGGAGGGGAGGAGAGGAGAGATGCAGACAGAAGAGGGAGGAAGAAAAAAAAATGACACTTTCACAGATTGCTTCTAAAAAATTCTGAATATCTTCCAAAGTACATACTGGCCGCTAAGAACCAATCTAAATAGCATGATCTGTTTCCTATTTTACAATTTGGATTGCAGAAGAGATTTTGCTTTACATCCATGCATTTGATCATCTGAAATCTGTCAACCTGAGAAAGCAAAAGGATTCCAGAGACTTGACAAGTGAAATGACTGACAATGAGTCATTGGCAAATCAATTTTAGTTCGTTTTACTACACTGGTGTTCATTATAAGGTTAAATTCTAGCACCTGGCTTTTTCTCACAGTTGACCCATGCTCTTAAGGACACGTTATTCTTCTCCACAAATACTGTAGTACTTTGTTCCTTATTTGGAGGCATGATTATTTTTTCTCTAAGATATGAAATGTTTCAATGGAGAAAAAATAAATATTACCAAAGTATAATTATATACTCACTAATAATACCTGAAAGGCAGGAGCAGATAAAGAAGTCTGCCTGGAGCTTAATTTTTCTTTCTTTTTTTAACCCTGAAATAAAGGATGGGGGCAGAAGGTCAACTAAGACTATAAGAAAAATGTTTAAATTGGAAAATTTGTACTTGAAGTAAAAAATAGATAAAAGGAAAAACGAATGAGACAGGGAGCCAAAGAAAATCCTAAGCAGCTTGAAATTGTAAAAGTTAATGGAAATACAAGGACTTAATAAATGTAAGTTTAATAAATTTCTTAAAGATGGCCTACGGCCTTAAAATGCATTATTACAGTTTACCTCTGAAAATTGTATCTGAGGATAAAGAAGAACATACTTTTTCTGTGTCTGCTCTGCATTTAACTGTATTGGCTATGTAGATAAATAGGCCTGAAATATATCCTCATAAAGGTAACCCTTTTTCTACCTAGAAGTCATCCAAGGCTAAGCTTTACTATGCCAACTCCCTTTTTAACAATGTCTACTTTAAGTATTAAAAATTAAACTGACTCAAATGAAAATTTAGAACTAATCATTAATCCTCACGTATTAAAACATGCGCTGTTTATAATTAATTTGTTGAGTGGGTAGAAAATAATGGCTGTTAATGTGTTTGTAAAGACACTTATGGCTTAGTCAAGTGTGTTTTTTATTTCACCAACTGTTAATCCTTTTGGTACCAAGCCGCCTGACAGCCGATTGAGTACTCAGTAAATATTTGTTATTGAATGAACCTGGGTGCATTTGGAGTTCAGCTCCATAATGATTGGTGTTTGCCATCACAGGGCTTGCTGCACATGAAGAGTGTGAAGGATATTTTAGCGCTCATTCTGGCTTTTGGAAATTATATGAACGGAGGAAATAGGACTCGGGGACAAGCTGATGGATATAGTTTAGAAATTCTGCCCAAACTCAAGGATGTCAAAAGTCGGGTATTTATTTTTCATAAGTTTCTATGATCTGCCATTATTTTCTTTCTTTATCTTTAATTTTAAAAAAAGTATTCCACATTGTTCCATATATCTGTCCTCTCCCAACAACAATCATTTATATTAAATCATGCATTTTTTTTTCTTGCTTTCTTTTGACTTTTGAATAAAGAGGTTGTTTTGTTTTTTCATGTTAGACCTTATTTTCAGGGATCTAATTCCCATTATGCGTATGTGTTCTCTGACATACACAATTAGGTATTGAACTGCTGCTCAATGAGAGAACAAAACAGATAGCATACAGTACCAGCGTCCTGTAAAGGCTGGAGGCTGTTTGAGTTTAGTGTTGTCTACTAGTACTTTACTGATTCCTGAATGGCAGAGCAATGTTGAATCACCCATCATTCTTTTGCCACAACAATTGGGCTGGGGTCTACTGTCAAACTCTGTGAGCCTGATGATCACTTGGCTCCACACCCCTGCCGAGCTACCCCTTTAGAAACAACCAGCCCATATCTAGGCATCCCATGGCGGGCAGAGGGGCGCAGGGAGGGGAAACACACAGGCAAATTAGAATTAGACCCCAGTGAACAGGACACAAAGGCTGCCTTGTGGGAGGGCCTGCTCCCCCCTGGCCTCCCGGGGTCATAAAGTCGTGTGGTGCTCCTTTTAAGCTGGCCTGGATTGTTTTTCACACCATTAAGAACACACATTTTTTGAAAGGTGGGAAGGGAGGGGTGCTTTTCTGTTCTAGACCCTGGTTCCCTTTAGCTCTCCCTGCCCCCTCCTGTCTTGGCTTTATGCCAGAAAATACAAGGAGACAGTTTTTTGTTTGTTTTAGCCATTATTTCAGAAGTTTTATGGATTATGTTTGTTTTTCCCCACAAAGGATAGTACAAGGTAATTTCTTTGTGTAGCTGGCATAGTAAATGGATAGGATGAAGCCGAGGAAGGAAAACCTTGCTACCATGGAAGAGAATTAAAGCCAGTTTTTGCAAATTATAAGTTTCTCAACCTGAGATTTCATCTCTCAACCATGAAACATGACAGTCTCGTGGGAATGATTTTTATGTAAATTTCTCTTTTAAACCTAGGATAATGGGATTAATCTGGTGGACTACGTCGTGAAGTATTACCTGCGTTACTATGATCAGGTAAGAAATGGCATTATGTGGAAAACTTTCAACTGTTAGTCATTGTTGGCATTCATAAGTTGCATGACGGTGGATAGATGGATGAATTGCAAGCCCAACACAGAATGTGAGAGCTCTCCAGCTCCTTGGTTTACAGAAGAACACACTGAAACCAAGATAATTTAATTGAGTTATGTATAGAAGCATTATTCAGCGGTATAAATCTTCTGAGTCTCAATAGACTGTATGGTAGCTTCAGAGAGACCCTAGTTGCCCTAGTGTTTTATGGCCAGAGAGTGAGGTTCTCTGTGAAATCTAGATCCATTTAGTAAGTGGTTGTAGTTGAAACTGTATTCTGATGATGCAGAGCAAAATTTAGGAAAGTAAGACTCATCAGTAATGAATCTGTGAACAGGCTGAAGATGTGGAAGTTGAAAAATCCATCTTTTCTGCTTAAAGGGCATTTGCAATTAGAAGTAACCATTTTTGTGTGAATCCATCTGAGCAGAATTTTCTGTTTTATTCCTTCTTGTTAAATTGAGAAAAAGGAATTGCAATTTTGAGAAGAAAGAGGTATTGTTGTAAGATGTCGAGAAATATAGCGATCAATATGAATAGTAAAAGTCTCAAAGTAAATGTTGTCAGGACTTCTGCCTATCTGTCCCTGTAAGCAAAATTGTTCCTAGGCATCGGGGAAAGAATAGTAACGATCCCAGGGCCTTGTTTTCAATAGGCCTGCAATTTCATCCAGAAGACAAGTGAGGCTCTGATGAACTTCTTAATACTTTCTTCTGCTCTCCTGGCGGGCTTATCTATTCTCAGTCTAGCTAGCTAGGCTCATCATCTCCTCCCTCCTCAAACTTCTCCCCGATTTCTATTAAGAATATCGTAGTTTTTGATAGTTTTTGGTCATTCAGGCATGAAACCTTGTCCTCCCCTGGCTCCTCTCTGTCTTTCCACTGAGTTGTTTCTTATGTCTTCCCTGTTTTGCTTTGTTTTCCTGCTGACCCCAGCTTACCCAGGTTTTAAGATGGCTCACATGGCGAATTTCAGTTGCTTTCCAGCTCAGCTCTTTATCTCTAGGTTCTACACCTCTAAGCCACGCCACACCCTCTTGACACAGCTCTGATCATATTGCTTTTCTACTAAAAACAGAAGTGGCTCCCCATTTTCAAGTGAATTAGGACTCTACCAGTTTAATTCCAATCTTTTACAACCTCATTTTTATTACTTTCCCACAACAAATACTCTGTGATCCAACTCAAGACCTGATGTTTTCCAAACACACCCTGTGCTTTTTTTTTTTTACTTTTGATGTTCTCCCTAACTGAAAGTATCTTTGTCTCTAGCCTTTTTATAAAACCTCACTTTTTCTCATTGTTCTTCTCTAGAAATAATAAATTTAAAGATCTTTTGGGAAAAATCTCCCAGTAACATTACCAATATATGTGTTACAGACTTAACTAGAAAAGTACAGACCTTTGTGAATAAATTTACATAATTGCACTGAAAGTCATAAGAATTTAAAAACAAAGTTAAAAAAAAAATCTATTGTTTAAAATGGCTAATGGGCTTGAATAGACATTTCTCCAAATAAGACAAATAGCCAATAGGTACCAACATCACTAATCCAGGGAAATGCAAATCAGAACAACTGTAAGATATCCCCTCATGCCTATTAGGATGGCTGTTAATAAAAACCAAAACCAAAACCCTCCCACACAGAAAATAGCAAGTGTTGACAAGGATGTAGAAAAATTGGAACCTGTTAGCACTATTGGTGGGAATATAAAATGGTGAAGCCGCTATGAAAAACAGTAGGGAGTTTCCTCAAAAAATTAAAAATAGAACTATATGATCAAATAATCTCACTTCTGGGTATTTATCCAAAAGAATTGAAACCAGGATCTCAAAGAGACATTTTTCCTCTCATATTCATTGAAACATTGTTCACAATAGCTGAGATTTGGAAACACTCTAAATGTCTGTCAATAGATGAACAGGTAAAGAAAATGCATATATGTATTCAGCCATAAAGAAGAAATACTGTCATATGCTGCAACATGGATCAGCCTTGAAGACATAATGCTAAGTGAAAATAAACCAGTCATAGAAGGGCAAATACTGCATGATTCCACTTATATAAGTATCTAAAGTAGTCAAACTGAAGGAACAGAAAGAAGAATGAGTGATGGAGGAATGCAGAAATGGAGAATTGAGGATATGGAGTTTCAGTCATGTAACATGGAAAAGTTCTAGAGATCTGTACAACAATGTGCTTATAGCTAACAATATTATACTGTACACTTAAAAATTTAGGAGAGTAGATATCATGTTATGTGGGGGGGTTTATTTTTTTATTTTTATTATTATTTTTAACCACAATAAGGAGTGGCATCACGTTCTGTTGGAAGAATCAGTTAGAATGCTAATCAATCTTGGAAATTGACAAAATAATTTTAAATATTATATGTAAAAATAATTGGACAAAATTTGAACAGGATTTAAACATGAAGACAGAATCATTCATTTATGTATGCTAATGTATTATAGAGCTGTAATAATTATAAGTGTGGAATGATAGAATAACATCAAAAAACTTAAGAACATAGAAAGGAAATCTCAGAAATGGACCTAAATAAATATGTGTTAAGTATGTAATAATGGAAAAATTTCAAGTAATTGGGAGGAGGAAGAAATTGAATTATCTCCTAGACCTTGTACCAGAGACCAGAGAAAATCTTTAAAGATCAAAAGAGTTAAATGTAGAAATAAATGAAAGTAAAATCATAAAAGACATGACAAAAGTATAGGTAAATAGTTTTCTGATTTTGAAGTAGCAAAGTTCTTTCAAACTGTTCAAACTAGGCAGAAACCATAAAAGATTAGAATGATAACTTTCAATGTATAAAACTAAAAAACTTTAATTCCTAATTAAAATTTAAAAACACATTAGTATCTCAAAAATGACTTCAAACCAAATTCAAAATCACATACTGGAAAAATGTCTACAACACAATAGACCATGAACTCTTGAGAGTTAACAAGAAAAAAAGAACGTTCTTCCTTATTTTTTAAAATGGCAAAATATATCACAGGCAATTTATAAAAGGCATATAGAAGACATAAATTGTCAACTAGATATGTAGAATTAATACTGTAAATCGATCAAACCTTTCTCAGGACTGTCACGTATGGTAAATCAGGTTATTCTCTGTTTAAAGTCTCTAGGTCAAATGGGACTCATATCTAGCCTGCCCTTGACTCACCAAACTATATACACTATAAGGACCACACTTTAAAATTTAAAAATTCACATAAAGATGCCATGCGCTTGTCAAGCTGTTTGTCGATGAAGCTGTTCCTGTCTACAGGGGATGCATTTTCCTAGCCTATACATATATGCTTTAAGGGAAAGCAAGGTTGTTTTTTCTCGTTTTGTTTCCCTTTTTACCCCAGTTTTTTTCATTTTTTTCCTTTCATTTTCTTTTTTCTTCATATCAGCCAGGTCATGTGCCCACATTATAACAAGGTTCGATGGTGGCACATTTTATACATGCACATGAACACCCAATCCATCATGCTCATGAACTGCAAAAGGATCAAAAGCAAGGTTTTTGACCTTTCTGCATTAGAAGCTCTAGAAATATGTGTAAGCTTTTAATAAATTTCTATCCTAAGAATATAATGATATATTTAATTACTATTCACTTATAATAGTTTATAATAGCAAAATATTGGAAAAATTTTGGAAGGTATCCAATGATAGAGACCAAGGTCAAATAAATTATACTAGAGTCACACACTGGAATAATATAATGCTATCGAGAGTGCATAGGAGAGAATATAGTAGTGCTACAAAGTATTTTTATTTTTTTATTTTTTTTTTATTGCATTTTAGGTTTGGGGATACGTGAAGAACATGCAAGATTCTTGCATAGGTACACACATGGCAGTGTGCTTTTCTGCCTTCTGTCCCCTCACCTGTATCTGTCATTTCTCCCCATGCTATCTCTTCCCACCTCCCCACCCCCCCGTGCCTCCGCCATTTCCCCCCAATGGACCCCAGTGTGTAGTGCTCCCCTCCCTGTGTCCATGTGTTCTCATTGTTCAACACCCGCCTATGAGTGAGAACATGCCGTGTTTGATTTTCTGCTCTTGTGTCAATTTGCTGAGAATGATGGTTTCCAGGTTCATCCATGTCCCTACAAAGGACACGAACTCATCGTTTTTGATGGCTGCATAATATTCCATGGTGTATATGTACCACATTTTCCCTATCCAGTCTATCGTCGTTGGGCATTTGGGTTGGTTCCAGGTCTTTGCTATTGTGAACAGTGCTACAATGAACATTCGTGTGCATGTGTCCTTATAGTAGAATGATTTATAATCCTTTGGATATATACCCAGTAATAGGATTGCTGGGTCAAATGGGATTTCTATTTTTAGGTCATTGAGGAATCACCACACTGTCTTCCACAATGGTTGAATTAATTTACATTCCCACCAACAGTGTAAAAGTGTTCCTATTTCTCCACATCCTCTCCAGCATCTGTTGTTTCCCGATTTTTTAATGATCGCCATTCTAACTGGTGTGAGATGGTATCTCAATGTCGTTTTGATTTGCATTTCTCTAATGACCAATGATGATGAGCATTTTTTCATATGTTTGTTGGCCTCCTGTATGTCTTCTTTTGCAAAGTTTCTGTTCATATCCTTTGCCCATTTTTGAATGGGCTTGTTTTTTTTCTTGTAGATCTGTTTTAGTTCTTTGTAAATTCTGGATATCAGCCCCTTGTCAGATGGGTAGACTGCAAAAATTTTTTCCCATTCTGTTTGTTGCCGATTCACTCTACTGACTGTTTCTTTTGCCGTGCAGAAGCTGTGGAGTTTGATTAGGTCCCATTTGTCTATTTTGGCTTTTGTTGCCATTGCTTTTGGCGTTTTGGTCATGAAGTCCTTGCCTACGCCTATGTCCTGAGTGGTTTTGCCTAGATTTTCTTCTATGGTTTTTATGGTGT